GGAGGGTCCCGGGAGAGCCCGTCCCTTCGCCGGCGGGGACGGGGCGCCTCCTCCCCGCTGCCCGCCCGGCGGGGCAGGTCGGGCGCCCGCCTCGCCCCCCCCGCCCCGCGCCGTGCCCTCGCTCACCAGGTAGTTCATCTTCGCGGCCCGCCGCGCGCGAGTGGCGCGGCCGCGGTGCCCGGCCGTGCGCCTTAACGCATGATCCACGGGCGGCACTCCCGTCGCAGCCGGGCCGACGACTAAGCCAGCGGCGGCGGCCGAGCGAGCTCTGGGAAAGGAGGCGGCGCGGGCGGGCCTCCCACCCCTTCCCTCCCCGCCGCCGCCCCCATTGGCTGCCGCCAGCAGAGGAGGCGGTGCCGCGCCGGGCCCAGGGCCGGCTGGAGCAGGGCGCCTCCGCCTGGCACTGGGCGGCCGGTTGGGGTCGTCCGCCGCCGTGCGCCGGACCCGCCCGCGACCCGCAGAGCAGCTCCGCGGAGCCCGCCGGCTCCCGAGGGCTGGGCACCGGCACTGCGTGCCCGCCTCCGCTCGCGCTCGCCCCCCGTTTCCCCTCTCCCCTCCGTGCTGCCGGTCCTTCCTTCTGGAAGTGTGGCGGGAGCGGTGTGCGTCAGAAAAGGCATGCCCCTGCACATGTGTAGAGTGCCCCGGAGACGCCAGGCATCTTCGGAGACACCCGGAGCAAAAGGGGCCGTGAGTTGCATTTTCCTGCCCGGGAATGCCGTCAGCGGCCCTGATTTTTCCCTTCTGAGCGTGCCTGGCACGGTGCCCTTCCAGGACTAGCTGAGAGCTCAGGAACTGACAAGGTGGCTCTCCATCCCTTCCTGCAAGCTCATCCGGGAGGGAGGGTCATGCCATGAGCGCCAGAGAACTCGAAGCGCTTGCTCCGTTTGCTGGTGGACTGGGCCAGCCAGAGGCCCGCTGCGTGGGTCACCCGTCTCACCACCCTTTTCTCCCTCCGTGGAACTTCTGAATCATGCGACATGTAACATGAGAAACAAGCGTTTTTCATTCCAGATATAGCCCTGAAATCATGGGGCCTAATTCTGCTTTTGGATTCCAGCCACAGTCGCCTGAGCAGCCGATCTAGTGAATGTGCACTTTTCCATTCCTGTGGCGCGATGTGGCCTTTAGGATGCGCTCTGTGTGTGGCCACAGTTATCATTTCCGGGGCACATGCCATCCATCGCTTGCTTTATCTTACGCACTCTAGAAAAAGGCCTCCCCAGATGAGAGAGGGAGGCCAGGTGACCATCTTTAGCAGAAATCACCCAAAGCCATCCACATTTTTCCTTGTGGCTTTTCGGGCAGAGGTAACATTCCCAGAGGTTAGCCAGGAGAAACAAGCCAAGAGAGATTATTATTATTATTATTATTATTATTATTATTAGAACATTTCTATGCCGCCCCTTGCCGAAGCCTCGGGGCGGCTTGCAACACAATAAAATACAATGCAATACAAAAATAATATAAAATTAAAATTAATAATATAAAATAAATAAAAAATATAAACGATATAAAAGAAGTTATAAAAGAAAAGAAAAGAAAAGAAAAGAAAAGAAAAGAAAAGAAGTCGCCCTGGCCAGATAAATAAGTAAATATTGTTAACAATTGTCCTCCAGGTGTGTTTCAACTACAGCCCCCATCTTCCACAGCCTGTGTGCCCATTTGCCACACTGGCTGGGGTGGTGGAAGCTGTAGACCAACGCATCTGCAGAGGGGCAGGCCAGGGACGGCTTCCATACAGACTGGCTCTCGAAGAGCAAGTGCAGTGGTCCCTCGGCTCACGAACGCCTCAGCTCATGACCAGACTGGGACACCAGCAGGAAAAATTTGCCTCGGTTCGTGAACTCCACATGGGGTAACGGCCACGATCGCGGCCAAGTTGCCACGCGAACGATTGCGACTGCACCTGTCTTCCCTGCACGAGAGCGATCGTAGCCACCCGCCCCCCCCCAGCACGGTCACTATCGCACGAGTACCGCTTGGACTCTCCCTCCAAACCATAACCCCCCCCCCCACCCACACCTAGGTTAGTATTCTGTACTGTACTGCACTTTGTTACTTGGTTGTTCTTTGTTACTTGTTTCAAATTTTTGTGATTTTAAAAAAATATTTACAGAACTGATTAACCTTATTTACGTGGAACCTTATGGGGGAGTTCGACTTGACTCACGACCAATTCGGGTTGCGACCAGAGTCATGGAATGGATTAAGTTCATGAGCCGCGGTACCACTGCAATTGGCCGCACTCTGGGCCTCGAGTGGCATCTGCAAAGAAACCGGAAGCTTCCGGCCGGCTGCCGCATACGGGACCTCGGGTGGCCAACGTTCTTCGGCGGCACTGGCCTGAGTCCGCCCCCAGCGCCAACAGTGGCTTGGAGACCCGGTGTGGTGGGAGCGGGACTTCAGTGGGATGCGGTGCCGTCACTTGCCCATCCACAGGGACCCAGCACGAAGTTGGCCACTCTGTTCCCCTGCTCCCTCCGCCTGAGCTGCAACGCGATCCCTGCAGCCGCTGGCACCCAGAAGCGGCACGGAAAGGCTAACATCTCCCGTCTGGCCTCTGAGATGGGGGTGAGGTACACCCTTTGAATCCTGGGGTCCTGCCTCTGAAGGCGAAGGGGCCAAACCTGTTCAAATGCCCCAAGAGACGGGCATTCTTTCCAGAGCGGATTGTGCAAGGGGAGCGTCTGTCTTCGGCCTCAGCTGGCCTGGAAAAGGGAGCCAGCGATGGGAGGATTGAGCAGGGAGGGTGGAAAGAGCACTACAGGTGAAAGCCCCTGATCGTCTGTCGGCCACAAAAGCACACGCACCGTGGAAGTCACGCAGTGTGCGGTGCGTGTTGTGACGTGTGAGTCCAGCCAATGTGGCAAAGGGGACAAGTGCCAATTCTCATTGAAACGGACATTCCAGCCAACATTCATGTTACAGATCAGAGAAATGGGTGTGTTGCTTGTAATTATGGATAGGAGGTGACATAATTTCATAATTTGATAAGAATCTCCCTGTGTTTATTCAGTTTATGACATTTGGTGCAAAAAAGAATGGGAGATTCAAAGATTCAAATGACGTAGGGACCGGGACTGACAAATTCTCCAGTCTGTGCAAAGGGCGCTCCTAAAGACCGCCCTCGACTCCGACCATCTGCAGCCACCTTCACGCTGCTGAATGCAGTGGCGGCTTCTTTATTCGGGCGTCTTTAGCAGCTGTGCCGGACATCCCGGTCCTCTTTATGGTGGGAAAATTCTGCCCCTTAAATTTGGCCAGTGCAGATGGCTGAAAATTTCTGCTCATTTTTGCTACCGATCTAACAAAAGACATAAATGCCTTCATATTCAAGAGAGAAACAACTCAAGACTTTAATAATTAGCATGCAGGAGAAAGCAAACGTGACCGAGTCACCTTTTCTCTGCATGAGAATTTGTGCAGGGAGACATTGTCCTTTCCTTTCCTTTCCTCTTAATTTCCACAACCAGATTTTGCAGCACGATTTCATTTTTCAGGAGTAGCATCACGGGGCAGCCGCTCGTTCTCCTTTTCATCTTCTCTACTGCTAGGCTTCTTCCGCTGCTGCCAAGAAAAACTGGGCACCGTGCCCCCTCCTAGGAAGGGCAGACCATTCTCCACTTCTCTGCCATTGATGAGATGAGCAGAGCATCCCGGGGGGGGGGGGGGACGACGGCTGCGCATGGGACTTGCGCAGCTTTGGAGGCTCTCTCACACTGCTTCTCGTGCTTGTGACTGGTGCTTTCTGCAAGCATGCCATGGGATTGCTTTCCTGCGCCACAAGACTTCGCAGCTCATGTATACAATAGCAGAAGGAACCCTGCACTTGACTGGCACGGTTCACTGCTGTGAGAAAGAAGTGGAGACAGGGCTGGCACCAGAGCCAGCTTAAGCTCCATCTTGGGGACCTCCCCAACCGGGTGCCCTCCCAGTGGCCAGGATGCCTGGCCACTGGGCATCATGGCTGTGGATGATGGGAACTGAACCATCTGCAGGACACGGAGCTGAAGAAGCCTCTCCAACACTCACACTTCACAGATGGGATTTTTGTGCGAGTGGAACCCTCCGTGACACAAGGAGAAGCAGCACTGAGAGAAGTTGCCTCTCCTGTCCAGTCCTCGGCTCTGCCGCCTGCCTGGGCTGCAGCACGGTTGGCGGCTGGCTGATCCCCGTGGAACGGGTCTCGGAGCTTGCATGCCAGAAACACAGGAGCAGTTTTACCGGGGTGGGGGGGTGAGGTTTCAAGGCACGCTCTGGAGCACAGGTGCCAGACTGCTTTTGGCCGGAGGAGACTGAGGCATGAGAGGAGCAGCCAAAAATAACTGTATTTTAGCTTACAGCTCTCACGGCGGAGTCTGCAAAGGGGCACTTCAAGCTATCGTAATCAAAATACAAAGTAGAACAGCTGGGGAACCACGAAGCAATCAACCTTTGAGGAAGGGGGAGATGGGGAAGTTGTGAGAGCCCTGCCGGGCCCATTGGGGGCCCCCAGGCTGTGGGTCGGCTTCCTTGACCTAAAGAGCTTGTTGTGGGATACGGAATTGCAGGGCTTCAGGCTTCAGGGCTGCAGAGACACTTCTATGTCAGCCTCTACACACTATTTGCAAGATGTTGCATGCCTTTTAGAGTGCAAGAAAAGCCAGGGCCCATCTAGTCCAGCACGCCGTGTACCTGGCAGCAAAGCAGCTGCCTGCAGGATCCCTCCAGGGCATGGGGGAAGAGGGACTTAGGCCAGAACAGGCTATTGGCTCATCTAGCCAGGTGCTGCCCTCGGGATCTTCCGCATGGACGAGGCCCACCGCAGACAAGCAGGCCCACCCTCTTCAATCCCCAGGAGCCAGAAGGAACGGTTGACTGGATGGGAAGCCTTGGCTTCTGCTTGCCTCTTCTAGGACTCGAGGGACGCAAGTGGTGCCACGAAATGAGGTGGTCCGCAGGAGGACCCTGCCCCAGGGGCAGAGGCGCCTTGCCTCCCTCCTCTCCGTCGCCCGGGGCTGGAGTGTCACTGCAGGGGGAGGGGGGCACCGCCACCGGCCTCCCTGTGCTGCCACGTCTGGGCGAGGGTGGCCCACGGAGGCCACGGCCAGGTGGGATTTATTTAGGGCAGGCATACTCAACGGGGGCGTGTGCCAAGGGGTCCGCACGCTGCCGGGGGACCCAGTCACGAGATCCGACACCTGCGCAGACCTGCCTCTTGCTCCGAAGCAAAGTGGGCCCCAATGCCAGAGCCCTCATTT